TTCCCTGAGAACCAAGGACACAAAGTGCCCAGAACTTTAACCAATTGGATCTCACCTGCTCTCTGAGGAGCAGGGCAACAACCAAATGGCAAAAGAATTTTCTGACATGAAGCATGGAAAGACAAGGAAGAATTGATTACAATATTTTATATTGTTATAAAAAATTCAAAACTGTGAAAATTTGATATACTGAATATCAAAGCAATATTCAACTGCTACATGGGATTTTAATACTAATATGTCTAGTGTTTTAAATCTATAAAAAATGACAGTCCAGTAACTTTTTAAATGCAAAGATATTTAGATAAACTAATTCTTCTACAACATTTTTATAGCACAAGTTCCCTTCTGTTGTTTGGGGTTTTTTTTAAACTCTACATGTCTCTGAGGATCCAATAATTGCACAGAAATATTCTCCTAAGAGTCATCAAGGCTGTGCCAAGCAAGTCAGCTTTGAAATACATACTGACTGAAATAATTTACATTACCTTCAATTTTTCGGTTTTTAAAATCTATTTTATTTCTGTAAACCATCTTTTTTTTTTTAATTCTGTGAATAAAAAGACAAACACCAACACAAAATGTTTTGGTGTCCCTCTTTAAAAAGTTAAACACATGAGATCCAAGAAAGAAAACAAGCACCAGAGGAAACTGGAGTTCTCCAAGCAGAACCAAAACAAAGCACGTAACTTCTGCTTTGATTTATTTATTCTGGAATTATATTTCAGGTATTGCTTAACACCATGCTCCTAGAGTAAGGGTAATGGATAAGCAGTTCAGGGTAAACTCTTAATAGTTTTAGATCTCTATTTCTCATGACTTTTTGATAACTGTAATTACTATGTCTAGTACAACTTTCATCCTGGAACTTGTGCTCTTCCATTTTCTAAAATGCCATTAATTTCCTTTAATAAAATAAACGTAGTTCTATAGATTTTTGCAGCCAAAGTCTCTTTCATTTGATAAAGCATTTTTCAGCTTTTATTCTTTCTCAAAAGTGATTTTTTTCCCCCCCCATGTTATTTACTTCTTTTTCCCCCTATTTTATTTACTTCTTTAGGAAAAACATGCTAAAATAACTTCTATGTAAGTCAAAAAATCTAAATAAAGAGGGAACAGGGTAGATCTCACATGGAATTTTGGAAGGGTAATATAATTTTTCTTAGGTACACAAATATTCAATGCAGCTTATATACTCTGCCACAAGGTTGTTGGAGGGATTACTTTTTAGCCATGTCTTTGAAGAAGGAGGTCCTGCCATGTAGTGAATCTTTAATCTCTACAACACCTAAACTTAAAAGACAATAAAAGACAATAACAGATCTCACCCTGTAAAAGAGCTTTTATTACCATGAAACTTTAAATGTGTTTGCGTGTTATATAGATGGAAGGCAAAAATGAAAACGCTACGTTTCCTAAAGCATTATAATTTCAAAAAGTAATACTACTACTACTACTACTACTACTACTACTGTTATATAATTATAATAATAATAGTAATAATAATAATAATAATGTCATATAATTATATAATAACTATTATTATAATAATATATTAATATTAATATATCATTATCTATAATATTATATTAATATATATTTAATAATATATAAATAATAATTAATTATTATTTATGATAATACATAAATCTAATTATTTATAATTTAAAATATTAAATTTATATATTTATAATATATAAATTATAATTAATTATTTTTATTATAATTTAAGTAGTAGTAGTAATAATAATAATAATAATAGTTATTATTATTATTATTATTATTATTATTATTATTATTATTATTATTATTATTATATCAGTGGCAGAGGCAAGGAATGGCTCCAGTTAAGTGGTGATCTCAAAGGAGATGTATTTATTGCCTCAGTCAAAATCAGTGTGTAGAGGCAAGTGAACAAACTGCTGTGCTCTGTCTCATCAGGTGTTGGAAGAACTACTCTTTAATAATTGTAGAAACTACTCCAGGCTCCTTGAGGAATCCATAAAACCATGGGGAAACATTTTTGGGATGAAAAGCTTCAAACAGCAGGACATCCAGCAGGAGTTCCTTGCTACATTAGGCTTTGAAAAATACTTGTCAACAAAGGAGTCTCCTCCTGGCTCAACAAACAGCTTTCAAAAACTCAGGTTACTTATAGATGGGAAAAAAACCACATGGAAAAGAGAGAATTTTCCTAAGATTTTCCTACTTCTATTAAATAATTATTTAATTAAACAATAATTTAATTAAATTATTTTATTAGATTTGATTTTAAGTCAAAACACATGAAGAAATATGGTGAAGTGACTCAGAATAGAGTTTAGGTGTCCACAAGGACATAAAATCATAGGTAAAACTGGGAAGAAAAAAGAGATCTCGAATAATGCTTACCCAGAGGCATTGCTAAGGAAAACTGTTGAAACTGTGAGGAAAAACTCATTGAGAAAACTCCTTTATCTTTCCTTGCAAAGTAACTTGGGTGAAAACATGGGGTTATAATTACAGTTCATAATTAGTCTGAAACACTCTGAAACTCAAGGAACTCCAGTGAAATATAATTTCTAGAGGGAGATAACTACAGGGCACTTATTATTACAGGATTATTAATCTTCACTTTACTGGTTACAACGCTCAAAGTAAAATTTTAAATTTTAAAACTTTGCTTCTACAAGATACCTCACAGATGGCATTGTCAGAGCAGCTAGGCCCTATCGCAAAAAGCAGAGTATGGGAAACAGCAGTTTTTCATCCCTTTGATTAAACAGGAAAGGAAATTTTAGTTTTGGTTCTGATCACAGGTCAATTAACAGTTTGTAATTTTCATAGAATATCAAAATAATTTTTAAAGTCTTCACAAAAATATTCGATGCAATTTATCCTACCTCATGTTGTCTCACAAGTGAAGGCATTTGTTGGAAAAATACTGTGTGCATTGATTATGATTAGATAATGATTAGATAAATTTCATTAACTGGTGGAAAATTGCTGCACTTTTTATGTGGAAAAGAGCAAAACCTGGTATTGTATAAAACTGTCCCCACCAGGCACATGTCGCTGAAAGGCTCTAGGTGAGTCCATGAGGTTTTGAATGCAGTTTCTGTTTGTTTTTCTGCAGCCCTGCAACTTCCAAACTGCATGGCTGCATTCCTGCCCTGAGGGAAGGGAATCTGCTTTAAGCAGAACCCACAGTTTTACAGATGCCAATAAAATCTGAGAAATAAGTTGTATTAAAACAATCCTGTAAGAGTGCAGAACTAATCTGTGTACTTTCAAAACAGCAACATCTGGTCATATCTTACAGCAAAATCAATACGAATCATAAATTAGGGAGTATCTGAAGAGCTAGAATTGCTTCTAAAGTTTTTAAGCTAGAAATTAATGTTAGATTGCACTTTATGCATGGATTTTTCTCTTAGAATAAATCATATCTATAGTGCAGCCCACGTGGCTGTGTTATAAATTCCACTTTCCTCCTCTTGAACGTTTTCAGCTGATGTTTCTGGGTAGCTTGGCCAGATCACAGGGGCTCTCACAAAACCAGCAGTGGTGTTCAAAGAGGGAGGCCAAGTCTTTGGGAGACGCTCTAAAGAAATATGAGTATTTAAACCATTTCCCTAAATGGAATAAGACTGGGGGTTTTGTTCTTTCCTAAGTAAAAAACACATCCTTTTCTAATGTTTCTGTTGAATGGCTGCAGTAGGTTTCTGCTAGAATACTTTCCATGAAAACTCCACGACAACTCCACAGATCTCTCAAGAAATGGAGAGTTGAAAGTGTTGATATTTAGTAATTAGAATGCATGGTCCATTGGGGTGTGTGAGTACTCTACATTTTTTTCCCCAAATTCCTCTTTTTTCTCTCTTTTTCAGCGTTATTTCTCATTCCAGTCCTCCTTCCTGCTCATTTTGCTGCTACATTCATGTTTAAAGCTCCCTTTTGCTTCTTTCTGTATTCAGTTCTAGTCTTAACTCTCTCACATTCTACTCTTGGCTTTGTTCTCTGTCCTTTCATTTATTATTCTCTGCTGTATCCTAATTACTTGTATTGCTCCCCAGTTGTAGGTTAGCGTTGTAAACAGTGTTCAATCCTTCCTTGCCATCTTCCTCTCTTCATTCACTCTCCTCACCTTTTCTCTTTTGCTCCTCTGGAGGCCTTTCCTTCTTTTTACAAGCCACCATAAAGCGATTCCCCATTTATTTGATGTTTTAGCTCGCTGAGTTTGTACAACTCAGTGCCATTTCAAATATGTTAGGCTGCTCACTGGCATCCTTCTCTGGTACACTGTCTTCTTTTTCCTTTAAATACTCCCCAGCTAATGGATTGCCAATTAATTAGAAATAGTTAATCGTCACAATAAAATAAACACGATGCGTTTGTGTCTCTCTGGGAGCTCCTAAACTAATTTTTATGGCTGTGATGGTAACCATTCTCACTGCTTGGCAGCTTGTCAATGGAAATAAAAGTTCTCTGAGCAGATAGCCCAGCCATCATTTGGAGAATGTTTTCTTTGAGCACGATGCTTCTGCATCTGCTGCCTTTCTTTTTCTTTCCTTCACTGCTTGTTCCCAGCTCTTTAAAGGATGTCAGTTTTGGGGCATCATCCAGGTGACTGAGTTTTTTCCAGCACAAAGACAAGAAAAAAATCTAACATAAAAAAAAAAAATTAAAAATAATTTAAAAATCACTGATCTGATTTTTTGTTTTCTTTCAGCTCCTGATTGAATCATTCTGTTACCTGAAGCTTGACATGCCAGCTTAAGCATGGAAGAAGGAAGGAACATGCCACTGATATTTTTAAATGCTACAGGAGGATTATGTTTCCTGCTGACTCCAAGTAGAGGAGAAGGAGAAAAAAAAGAAAGGGGAACAGAAGAGGATGGATCCCAGCTGTGATATTTGCCAAGTTACACACAAAATGAAACAGGCTAAAAATTATTTCGGTAAAGGCAGCTCTCAAGAAATGGTTGCCACAATGCAGATGTGATGTAAATAATTCATACCTGCTGAAGTTGGGTCCTCTTCAATGGAGGCTGTGCAAAAAGGTGTCAGGAGTGGGGAGGGAGGCAGGGACAGGGAATGGGAAGAGGAAGGAAGGGAAAGAGAGAGAGAAAAAGAGAAAAAAAATACAAATGAAGAAATCCATGTAATGCCAATGGTTGTATTATTTACATTTTCTTAACATAAAAGCAATTAGATATAATGAAAAACTTTATTCTCATAATCCTCCACCCCTTCTGTTCCACTCAGCTTCTTCCCAGCCTGGTGGGAATTGCTGATTCTGAAATTGGGCAGTTGGGGAGCCAAAGTGGCCATTTTGGGGTGGGTTGTGTGTCTGTCTGTCTGTCTGTCTGTCTGTCAGGCACGCAGTAATTGGGCTCCCCGTTCCACATGTTTATTTGTCTGGGAAAAGCAATAAAAGTCCTGTCTTCACCTCTCCCTTTTGCTGACAGATAACCATTAAATTGCCTTAAGTTACCATCAAAAAGCACTGATGGCTCTGGACTATCTATTACCCTCACATTCAAAAGAGGGAAACAGACATATTCCCAGCAAAAGTGAACTTTAAAAGTACATCAGTGACCTAATTCTTTCTCTTCTTTTAGTCAGTGTGGTTTATATACACATGCATCACAAAAATGGTCTCTTCACAGCCTTGAAAAAGTTTTGGATGACAGTAAAAGCTGAATTCAAGTGCTTCTCACTTGGATACTGTAAAAAGGACCTAGAAGTGAGAGAACTCTCCATAAATGCGATATAGAGATAATAAACACGCGTAATCCAAACTTTTGCTTTTTCTCTTTTAACGACTGCCTGCTGCCAGTTGAAATGGGAGCTCCTCCTGTTTTGATTTGTTGCAGAACCAGCAGAGACAACACTCCTTCATCCATGGCAGGCATTGATCCTCCCTGACAGAGCTTGCACAAGGCATGGCTAAAAACTCCAAACATTTCCTCAAACAGCACCACCACCGTGCTTGGAAAATTGACTTTTTTTTTTCTTCTTTTTTTTACTTTTGCTATCACCCCATGTATTCTGCAGGGAGAAACCAGGAGAGGAGCAGGGAGACATTCCCTTTTTTTGGCAAAAAAAATTGGCAACAGACAGCAAGTGCAATTGAGAGGGGCCATAAGCCTTGGTTAAATCAGCACAATATTCTGCTTGCAACTGTATGTGACAACCGGTGCTGAACACATCAGTTATTGCTAATTGCAGAGTAGCATGGTGTCCTTTTGGGGACTGTCAGATCTAATCGAGAGGAAATAATGAATTACTCTCTCAAGCACCAGCCAACCACCTTGTCTCTAACCACAGTGGTTGGAGGTGCACAGGTGATTTTTATTTCTAAAGTTTGGTGTTCAGATAAACCCTGAAGAAGGCTACACGGAAAAAAACCCCATAACATTATGTCAGGCCTAATTTAAAGTGGCCTAAACACGGTACTTAGCAGAGCCTTGCCTTCTGTAACTCCTTATTTAAAGTTTGAAAGTGTGTTTTGGAACTGGACTAATCCATGATGCAGTGTACGTATGTAAAGATCACGTCAAGCTTTAGCAAGTTTTTTAACTACTTAAACTAAAATAAAATGTGTTTGTGGTAGTAGAGGATTGCAAGGTAATGAAAGAAAAGAGGGAAAAATACCATCCCCCTCTTTTCAACTTGAACTAATCAGCTAAATCATTAATTTAACAATACAAAAGCTGATTATAGACACACACAAAAACCTCCAAAAACCAAAGAAAGCAACCAACTAATCAAAAAAGGCCAAAGAACCCCGTTCCCCCAAACCCCACAAAAACAACAAAACAAGAAGCCCCCAAACCAGAATGTTTAGAATATTTAAATCTTAGCAAAACAGGCTCTGAAGTAAATAACAAACTAAAAATTAAGTCAATAAAGTAGGTTGCAATTTCTCAGGGTACCAGTGGAAGAGACAACTACACAGACAGAACAGAACATGAAAGCAGGAAGTCAAAATTTTACAAATGCCCCAAATCCATATTAGCTTCCAGCTCTGCTGCTGCTTGAATGAAAAATAATTCAGAGTACTGGAGACTCTGCTTTAAAACTGGTTAAACAAAATTGTCCAATTATACAAGGAATATTTATTCCAGTAACCGTTTCCTTCAGACTGCTATTTGAATAATATTCTGAGACTTAATTATCAGGATGAATAGCAGCATTAGCAATTCAAAGCTGGATTCTGTTGCTACTCTGATGGTTGTTTCAGAGGGACCACTCTGCACTTAGGTACACATCTAAATAAAACAGGGTAGCTGAATCTCAGCTGAATAAATCAGATGCCAAAATGGCTATGCCAATAATGTTACTTTTCTGTTTATTTAATTAATTTTGGCTGTTTGATTGCTGGTTTAAGCTCATCCAGGAATAGACTGTGTTCTTTTTCTGTCTCAGTTAGAGTTGGTGAGAACTGCTTTTGCAAAAAGACCTAATTCTACTTGTCAATACTGCATTAATCCTAGACAGAAATTAAAGATGAGTATTAAAAATGGAGATGAAAATGCAGTTCTGAACCTGTTCACAATTCAAACAGACTTCTAGAAAAAATTAAATTAACTTAATCTCCTGATTTTTGTGACAGGATATTTTTACCTCCCAATAGATTAATAAACCATGTTTGAAAAACCAGCCTTCAGTAAGATGTTGAGTACTCAAGGAATATACCTAATTTTGCTTTATCATGCCACCTCAAATGCAATATCAGCACTCTGCTTTCCACTTTGAAGGAAATGCACCAAATTGCCACACCAAAATTTTCCTACACTACACCACCTTTTTTTTTAAATTTTATTTTTTTTTCCCATCAGCAGTGATTTAAAACACTCAGTTATTTTAAAAAATCTATTTAGATAGTGACTCATCCCCAGGGTAATTATGTGTAATTTGCTCTTTGCTTGTTTCAGAGGAGGGGAGAGGGGCTCAGATGGGCTGGCAGAGGATGGTGAGTCACTGCTGTGGGTGGTGGGTGCCCATCAGCCTCCCCCATCAGAGGAGCCAGTAATTTAACAAAAAAAAACCAAAACAAAGCAAAAAAAAAAGCCCCCCAAAAAGTCACAGAACATCCCCAAGTCATGGTCTTATGACAGCACTGCAAAACCTTCAGTTGTAAATTGTTCTACAGCTTTAAAGCATTTTTCACCATGCATTTCTTCCCCTTTTAATGCGTCATTGACAAAATATAATAAGATATATGGTGGGAAAGATATTGGATTTTATCTTCTTCAGGAAAACTCTGATGTTCACTTGGGAAAACTCAATTTTGTTTTCCTTAGAGGTGAATAATGCTGCATGAGTGGGATAAAAAAAAATAATCAAGAAGACACGGGCAGGTTTGGAAAGCCTGTACCAGGTGACATGTCATCCAACATTAGCTTAAGAGAGATAATGCAGAAAGGCAATGCTTGGATAACAATCTGAGTATCTCTGCCAGGCTCCTGATTATTTCCGTTACAATGGCAGAAGCCTTGACAAGTCTAAGCAAAAAAAACCAAAAAAAAAATCTGAATTTTGAAGCATAAATATCTCGGTTTAGGCAGATCCAGTGTAACAGCCTGCTATGCTATGTTATATCTTATGACACATTACACTAGCTTTGCATTATATTAAAGTTTGTGTTAAGTTTATATTAATGTGAAGGGTTCTTTTTAACATTAAAATAAAATGTTAGACTCATATACAAAGGAATAAACTTGGATATACATGGCATTACCCCTATGCAAAATCTGTACAAGAGGTTCACAGAATTATCCAGAGGAACAGTGAGCTCCAAGAGAAAATGGCATTTTTCTGAAGGCGGCATCAAAACTAAATTACAGTCTGCTCAGCATCAAATCTCAGGGGTCTCAGAGGACCTGTGTGCAAGGAAGACTGACTGGCTCCCCAAAATCTCAGCTGTAGTCATTAAGAATGTGATTTTAATGCTGCAGATGTTCCACGGGAAACGCGTGCCTGAGTTTCCTGTCTCTTCCCTCTCTCCACATCTGACAAAACTCAGCATCCACTGAAGGCCCTTGGAGCAGCATTTGCTTCCTTCCTGCTTCAGCTGGCCAGGCTGCTTTTGCACTCATTCATGAGAAAAAGGGAAAAAAAAAAAAAAAAAAAACCAAACTAAACCCAAAACACAACAAACACCTGAAAAACCGCAAGAAACGCCACAAAGAAACAGATAAAAGAGGCACAACAGAACAAACAGAAATGAACAAAAACCAAGCCAGAAGGAGCACGCCAGGCCCCTCACCAGGGCATGGCACAGATAACTCTCCATGAACTAATGAAACTCTGCTTGGCTGACAGATGTTCAATGGAAAACAAATACATTAATTAAGAAACCCCAAAAACGGCCCTTGGCACTTGGTGGAGAAGATGTATCACTTTCCACAGGTTTACATCGATTTAAGCACTTAAAATCTATGACAAAAACTTACGATTTCTTCACTGTTTTATTTCAAGAAAAATAAATTCTAACGGAAAAGTGGGTGTATGAGCAAAAGGCCACGTATTATTAAAATCTAGAATACTAGTGTCTTAAAATTACAGTAAAGGCATCTAATCCATTCTCACTGGTATTCCTTTTTCACCAATCACCAGGGTCATCAGTGCTGAATGAGAATATTTTTAACTATGAAAAAAAAAATTTAGGTGAAATGCTACATTTTGTACAAGACAAGATTAGATAAAGATTTTTTTTTTAGGTGCCTTCACATTTAGACCTCTCTAGAACAAGGAGGGAGTGCCCTAATATTTGTCAGGATCATCTTTCCTATGGAAAACAGTGTAAAGAAATTAAGTTTTTAAAGCAATTCTTGACTTCTTAGTCAGCTCCAGTTCTTGCCAAGGATTCCAGGGCTGCCAAAGGCACAACAGTACTGAAAATTGTAATTCTGAAACCAGGAGTAGTGTGCCATGGCCTGAAATATCACAGTTTTACACACACACACACACACACACACACACAATGCTATATGCAGATTTGAGAATATGTGAATATTCCAAGAGAGCAGAAGATGTAATG